CTTTTAAGACCCCAGACGCTATATCTTTTGATAGCCGGGCACCATCAGCTTTCTTCACTACATTTGCTTATTCACCCACTTTGTCTTCAGTGGTTGTGTCGGGAAGGTGAGCATCACAGAATGCCAATTTAATAGAAGAAAGTATTCTTGCATTGAGAGAGTACTTGAGTGGAGGCCCAAAGCACTTTCTTGCTTTGCTTCTCGAGAACACTCACCCCTATGCTACTGATTTCTGAGCCCAGGACCGGCCGATCGGAGGAGGACGATTCCGACCTTGTCTTTGATAGCTTCACTCTCTCGGCGATCTTAAAAATCAAGAAAAGACAAAAATTACAAATTAAAAAAAACCTACACACCCATCGCAGGTACCCGATTCAGGCTACATGTCTACACGGCTACTGTTTAACTGTGCCCACGATGCGGATGAATCCGTTTTTGAACAACACTCACTTGTCTACCTTTTCTACCATCTGCGTAGCACAAGGTTCCTTGGGCTGAGGACTAGGGACATTGTGAACATGGTGGTTATTTGCTGTGGGGGATCCACTGTGCACTGGAGGGCACTTTGCAGCCTCCCTGGCCTCTCCCCACTAGGTACTAGGGGCCATCCATCCATAGCTGTAAGCAACAGAGGAGGCTTCAGACATCCCCCTCCCTTGGGGGGCAGGGGGAAGGATAAAATTGTCCCTGGTTGAGAACCGCTAGTTCACCTAACTTACTGACCTTGATAGTTCAGACTCAATCTTACTGTAGTGATTAGTGAGGCTACCTGGGCAAGAGGGCATGACATCATATGAACGGTCTGTCAGTCTAGGAGCTGAGGCGCTGTGGAGGAGCACCGTGGTGTCGATTCTCACAATCCTCCCAGCCTGCCCATCCCAATCCGCGTTTTCTGCTGACAGAGCAGCCCATCTCTTGAGTGGGGAAATCACGGGTTCATTACTCAGAGTCTCCCCTCCCTCCCCCCGGCAGACCCTCAGGCTCTGAGAGCAGCTCTCCACCCACCCTGAAGGATTGTACAGCTTCTTGACAAAACATCTCACTTCCCAATGACTTGTCAGCTGTGACATTCTCCAGCCGGCTGATTAATGAGAGCTGGCGTCCAGGTTGCAGCTGAGAGAGACTTAAAACTATTAGTGGGTTATCTTTCCCTGCAGCTCCGGGGTAGGAGCCCTGCACTAGACCCCGGGGAAGCCCCCCAGGGCCCAGCGGAGCTCATGGCATGCCTGCACAACCTCTGTGCTGGGTGGAGGCTGGCGCTTCCAGATAAGGGGAAGCGTTCCTGCCCGCCCGCCTTCCCCAGCCGCTCACCTTGGCGATGGGAATGTCGTTGCTGCTGCTGCTGGTGCTCAGCTCCCCGGTGCTGGGGTTGATTGGGCGGTTGGCAGAAGTGAGGCGGCCAGGGCTGGAGGGCCCTGTGGCTTGCACGCTCTGGAGTCGAGTCTGAAGCTCTCGAACCTGAAATAATAGTAAGGTTGGGCACAGCTGGCAGTTTCCCTGGCAGAAGAGAAAAGGAACCAGATGGTGGGACGGTAAGGCTTTTATTTAGTCGTGGGTATCAACACCACTGAAAATCTACTAAGTCCCTTTATTCTTAGGTAGACCTGACAGTGGTTACCCCTTGGGCTTCGCAAGTCCGAGGGGAACACGCTGTCTAAGCCATGGAGGCCGTCAGCAAAGCACCTGTGAGGATTCACTCAGCCCTACGTGTCTGCAGAGAGAGGATCCCAGAGAGAACCTCCACTCTCATGGGACTTGGAGCTCAGAGGCAGAAATAGATGAATCATTTCAACACAAGTGCACACGAGCATTACCAATACCTGCCTAGTGTGCTGCACCAAACACGCAAACCCACTGCCATCGAGTTGATTCCAACTCACAGGGACCCTATACAGACAGGGTGTCTGAGGTTGTAAGTCTTCATGGGAGCAGACCCAAACCCAAACGCCAACCTCACTGTCACTGAGTCCATGCTGATGCGTAGCGACCCTATAGGACAGGGCAGAACTGCCCCTGTGGGTTTCAGAGACTGCCACCCTTCATGGGAGTAGAAAACCTCATCTTTCTCCTAGGAAAGGCTAGTGGTTTCCCAATGTGTCACCAATAGGCCCCCTGGGCTTCCTAGGGAAGTGGAGAGCCATAAGTGTTTCCCTTGGAGCAGCCGATGGGTTTGAACTGGCAGCCTTGAAGTATACCACTAAATGCCTAACCCACAATGCCACTGTGGCTCCTTCCAATCTCTAAACTGAATGCCAGTGAGTTGATTCTGACTCATAACGACCCTGCAGGACAGGGTTGAACTGCCCTTGTGGATTTCCAAGACTGCCTTTTGTTTTGTTTTACATCATTTTGTTGGGAGCTCTTATAGATATCATAACAATCTATAATTCAGTTAGATCAAGCATAATTGTACTCTTGCTGCCACCATTAGTTTCAAAACATGTTCTTTCTTCTTGGACTCTTGGCTATCAGCTCCCAAGACTGACTTTTTATGGGAGTAGAAAGCCTCATCTTTCTCCCACGGAAGGGTTCCGAAGGAAGCAGATAATGGAAGAATGTCATGTCACCTAAGGCCATGGAGTACTGTGCCCTAACAGTGTATGGAGCTATAACCAACGAGAGAGGGCTGGCTTGGTCAGTGGCCTGGCCTGGGTGATGGAGGAAGAAATTGCCTGTACAAGGCATGGGCACCATGATGACATCCTGTGTTGGAAGAACCACGGTTTCCAAGAGCTACCTGCACTGGGCGCGAGCACTGGCTAAGAGGAAGAGTCAGTGGCATACACAGCTTTCCCCCAAGTGACTTCAAGACAAGACATTGGGAAGGAATGTCTAGCCAGCTTTCTGTTGAAGGAAGAAACACCATTCCCTCACATTAATGCATACACATTTACCTGCACAGAATTCAAATGTGCAAACTCTGCAAACACACACATCTGTTAAAGCAAAATACAGGTCCCTCTCCCCAGAGATTCTGATTTAGTAGGTCTGGGATGAGGGCTGAGGATTGCCCAACCGTCCACATTCCGATGTGACGTTGCTGCTGCTGATCCAGGGACCGCACTGTCAGTAGCACTACACTACGCAGCGTGTAGCCCCACAGACAGCCCAGAAGAACAGAGCCACATCCCAGCCACCAATGCCCTGCTAGGCAAGGCACGGGGCCACTCTCCAAGCTTTTCACTTGAGCATCTTGGATGTCTCCATCCTGCTAACTTGGGAACCAAAAGTAATTGAAACTTCAATAATTCATCCACCTATTAGAAGCTAAAATAGGAAAATCCCCTCAGAGCACATGGCATTCAATAGTGAAACTCTGGAGAAGAAATGAAAAAAAGCCTCCTCAGCCGCGGCTGCCAGTCAGTCACTGTGGGGTGATAGAAATGTGTGTTGTCTTCACAACGCGCCAGACACAGCACTGACCTCGACGTAGTTTAAAGACAAGAAAAACACATGCTTATCAAAGCCAAATGGTATTGCTGGTGAGATATGATGGGGCCCAAACTGGAATCGACCCTGACAAACCGATCACGGGCAGTCTGGTGGAGGCTCGGGCTGTGCTCCTGGCAGAGGGAGAGGAGAGGGCCTCACTTCCCCTCGAGCCAGCGCCCTGTCACCAGGACCACGCCACCTGGAAGGGACAGCTTCTTGGTATCCATCAGAGATTTCAGCTTTTTACTTCAAATTTTTTGAGAATGCCCTAAAAAATTAATGTTAACAAGATCACCCAGACGCCTAAGTAGTATCTGATTTGTATGTGAAAAATTAATGGTTTGTTCTTAAAATCCCGATTAGTCCATTCATATTGCTTTTAAAAAAGCACACATCACCTCAGGCAATCTTACAAAATCTTCACAAAAACTTCACATGCTTTTTAAAAGTTTCTTCTTCAAATCTCAAAGGTGAAACATGATCATTGTGGAAATTTTAGATGACATCCAAAAACACAAACAGAAAAATATCATTACTACTACAGAGACGATTGCTTCCAATCATTTCCCAAAGAGTGCACACACCCACACAGGCATGCACGTGTGCGTGCTTAAAATAATTTCTAAATCAAGACATCCATGCTCATTACAAAATCTTTGGACCCAGAGAACGTCTTTGAAAAGGAAAGGATGATAAACATGCTTATTTTGGGCTATGCTTTATTATTTAATGATTGTTAGCCAGTGGGGGGAAGATCCAGCTGATGAGTGTGTTATGAGCCTGTCATAGAAAGAGAGAGACAGCTGGGTGAAGCAAACACACACCCCCACCCTCTTGGCTTTGGAAGAGGAGACACTATTTGAATTTAAAAGAATAAATGCACCAAAATGAAGGCTCTAACCAATTTGTTGTTGGAGTTTTGGGTTTGTCATAGTCTGTTGCTTGCATGTTAATATGATGCTGGGTAAAGCTTTGATACCAATATTTCAAATAGTAGCCTAACCACCTATCATCAGCGGCTTTTGAAAGCACTTACAAACTAACCCAGGTGAGGAAGAAAGTTCCAGGATCTGCTCCCAAAGATTAGCCAATGAAAACCCACTGGATCATAACAGAATCTTGTCTGATGTAGTGCTGATGGATGAGCCCTGCGTAGGCTGGAAGGCACACCGCAGAGCCTGCAACAATGCAGCGGTTCTCAACATTGTCGGCTGCGACCCCTTTGGGGGTTGAATGGCCCTTTCACAGGGTCACCCAATTCATAACAGTAGCCAAGAAAATAATCTTATGGCTGGGGGGGAGGGGGCACCACAACATGAGGAACTGTATTAAAGGGTCACGGCATTAAGAAAGTTGAGAACCACTGGTCATGAGGATGGCCCAAGACCAACCAGCAGCATTTCATGCTGTTGCACATGGGACATGGGGGTGCAAGAGTTGGAGTCAACACCATGGCAATAACAACAAGGCTTGGGAGAGGGAGACACACTGCTATCACAGTCTTCACTTTTACTTTCATCCATTTTTTAAAAATCAGAGATACTTTTATGAAAGGAAATATATTCCTCTTTACAAAATAAGTATTTTGGAGTCAAAATAACCAGAATCATGGCTAACTGAAGGCAGAGATCGATAAAATCAAAACCAATCTTACTGCCACCAAGTTGATGCTGACCCTATAGGGCAGTGTAGAATTTGCCCCCCTCTCCCCCGGGAATTTCTGAGACTAACTACTACCGTAGAAAGCCCCCTCTTTCTTCTGCAACGTGGCTGGTGGTTTCAAACTGCTGACCCTGGCGAACACAGCCCAACTTGTAATCACTATATCACCAGGGATTGATAGTTGTGGGAAAATTATTCATCTTCCTCCATAGCCTTTCTAATCTGAGAAATACTTTTACCAGCAATTTGCTCCTTTTTTCTCAAAGTTAGTAGAACATCAACATCTATCTAGGTGCACAGGGGAGAAGCTATCCCATTGTATAGATTGGACTCCTGGCAGAAGGTAAGTTGTATGTCTACCAGGGGTTTCATGTCACCAATCTTTGCAATGTGAAGCATGCTCTGAAATGAGTGCTAAGAATGGAGTGTGGAACAGAGGAAGAAGAAACATCTCTGTAGGTCTAGAGTACGAAATGCTGGAATTCATTCTTAAAAACTACTTGCTGAAGAACACTTTGTTCTAACAATCTGTCATTCTGTGATGCTCACCTTCCCAACATGATTGCTGAAGACAAAATGGGTGTATAAGAAAACGTGGTAAAGAAAGCTGATGGTGCCCAGTTATCAAAAGATAATAGGTCTGGGGTCTTAAAGGCTTGAAAATAAGCAAGCGGACATCTAGCTGAAAAGCAACAAAGCCCACATGGAAGAAGCACACCAGCCTGTGTGCTTATGAGGTGTCAATGAGATCAGGTTTTAGGCATCTAAGACCCAGAACAAAATCATACCCACTGTGGGGTGGGGTGGGGGGAGGAGGAGGTATGGAGTGGAGATCCAAAGCCCATCTGTAGACAATTGGACATCCCTTCACAGAAAGGTCACAGGGAAGAGATGAGCCAGTCAGGGTGCAGTATAGCACCAACGAAATACACAACTTTCCTCTTGTTCTTTGGTGCTTCTGTCCCCTCACTATCACGACCTCGATTCTACCTTACAAATCAATTAGACCAGAACATGCACACTGCTACAGATAAGAGCCCACAACACAGGGAATCCAGGATACATAAACCCCTCTGGGCCAACAATGAGTAGAGATAACAGGAAGATTAGGGGAGGGGTGGGAAAAAAGTGGGAATCGATCACAAGGATCAACCTAGAACCCCCTCCCAGGGGGATAAATAACAGAAAAGTGGGTGAGGTGTGACAGAGGATGATGTAAGATATGATAATAATAATCTATAACTTATCAAGGGTTTGTGAGAGAGGGACGGTGGGGGAGGGTGGGGGAAGACATGGGGAGCTGATATCAGGGGCTCAAGCGGGGAGAATGCTTTGAAAATGATGATGGCAGCATATGTGCAAAT